ATGACGAAGGTGACATGAAGCCACAGCTTGGTTAAATGTAAAAACTTGATCATGATAAAGTAGCAAAGCCATATCAGCATAATAAACTGAAAAATAAAGACAGAGTAACAAATTATGGATTGATAATCATTTATTTGCCAGCTTTGAAAAAAAAATTAGCATAACAATTTGGTTATAATAAAATAATATTTAAAGGGGATCAAATAAATCTAAAATAAAATAAAATTGTTTTTTGTCTTAGAATTTAAAATTTGCCAGAAATAACAAGGAATAACTTATCTGAAGGGACAGTTTTAGTCTGCCATAGTCATTGTTGAACTTAATGTCACTCAGCCGTCAGGTTATTACTCTAGACATCAAAGCCACACAAAACAGATCATAGCAATTAAAAGACAAGGGAGCTCATTGGTTCCTACTGGGTGTAAGAAACAAACAAAAAAAGCTTCAGAGCCAATTCTCCAATACCAGCTTATTTCTTTTTTATTTTTCATTCGGTGAGACCTAGGTGGAATGATCAGCTGTATATTGTGAAATTAGTTTAATTTAATCATATATATATTTCGTTAAAGCTTCACTCTGATATTACAAACTTAATAGGGAAATACACCAGATAGCTAATTTCCCACTGGTAGCCCTGGGATTTAAAGCTCTAAGTTATGTTTTATCATGTAATAGGGAAATGCTCTTTCATTTAAAGTTGTTTTACAAGAAGACTGAACATCATGACCAGAGAAGTGTGGATGCTTTGTTAAAAGGTACTGCTGGGATTTGAACCCAGGATCTCCTGTTTACTAGACAGGCACTTTGACCAACTAAGCCACAGCGCCTAAACTTTCAAAAAAAAGTGCTAACCCCCCCCCCAAAAATTCACACAAGACTCTTGGAAATGTCTTGTACTCAAGAGCATGACATTGTAACAATGCTAGAGGTCAAGTTCATATTTTCCACTACGAGGAACAGAGGATTTTTTAAATAAGATCTATTCCCTTCAAAAGTCAGACGCTTATGCATCCTGACATAACTGTCTTATATAGTGACCATTTTGCCTTGTCATTCTTTTAAGAAGTGAAATGTAATAATCCAGCCACAGCTCAGGTCTATGCCGAGCCAAAGCGTCACAAAGTTTGATGTCTTTAGTTGTTAACCTATGAAAAGTTAGCCCAGCAAAATGAGACAAAAACTACATTGCTACCAACCAAACCCAGCAGTTAGTTGAATAAATTTTCAAAGAATTGCATAAGGTATTCGTCTTTAAAGAAACTGCAAAGCCAAAAACATTTGCTGGTAGTGTTTTTGCATGATCTGAGCCAGAAGGATACTCAGGGTTAATAAGATTCTGCCACAACCAACTCTGAGTTGGAACAGACAGAGCACTTACATAAAAATGGATACAGAAGCACTGGTCCAGGTCTACACTGGGAATGAGAGAAAAGTTTAAGGCAAGCACCAGTAGCAGCTGCTTTAAAGGCATGATCCAGAGAACAAGCACAGCTTAGCAGATGAGATATCAGCTACAATTCAAGCATTTCACGTCCCAAAATAGAGTGTACTTTGCACTGTACATTTTGTGGTTGTGTCGCCTTTTGGGAAAAAGCAGGGCAAGGAAATGAGTGTTGATAAGTTTGAGTGTACCGCCATATAAACAAACAGGTTCCTATTATTTAGTTGTAGATGGCTGAGAAGGACCAACTCAGAAATATGAAGGCTAGATGATATTTCTCCATGCGGCTCTTAAAGTTGTTTTACAAGATGCTAGCCACTGCTCCACTGAGCAGCCCCAAAATCAATTCAGTTTTAAAAAACTGTATTAATCCTAAAGGGAAATTAATTACGGAAATAACAAATCCACCTCTCTTCTACTAAGTGTTGTACAGTAGGTGTTGATAGCTGTAGGCCGGAAGGATCTTCTATAGTGGTCTGTTTGGCACCAGATCTGGAGAAGCCTCTTACTTACTTACTTACCCCAGCAGATGATGGTAGAAGAGATAACATTCTTTACAACAGACTTACAGACAACGGACGTATAGATATGTAACAACTTGCTGCAAACTTTGAAGGACCTAAGCTTCCTTAGGAAGAACACTCTGCTCTGCCCTCTGGATTTCCCTTCGGCACCTCTTCGAACCTCTGATCTCCTGGCTCTGACTACTGAGCATGTCTTCAACAACGGCTTTGGCTTCTCCCTTTGGATTATCCTGCCTCCCTTCGTTCAGAGGATGAGGTTGGTATATATATATATATATATTTAATGCTCTGAACTTCCATATCATTGCTTTTTTTTGCACCATGTTTTTTCTCCCACACTGTTTACATTTGATAACTGCTGCACTTTAAGAGTTGGAAATGTCATGAAAGCTGTACAAAATAAAATTTTGTTACAGAATTAAAATTAAATTTTTCTAAGTCAAAGGAGACAGACTAAACTTTAAGACCAGGTTAGTGACCCTCACGTTCATTAACATCCCCCACCGGATAGACGTGGTCATTAACCTGTGTTCTCCTCCAGTAGAGGTTTCTGTTTAACGTTTAGAGAAATCTCTTTCTGTCTCGAATACTGGGACCTATTGTTCCGAGCCTGACAATAAAGGCATCTTCAACTCCATCCACACCAAAAGATTGGATCATTAAAGATGCCTAAATCCCCATTGTTAGTTTTTTTTGTTTTTTGTTTTTTTTTACTTTGCACCCCCTAAAGTACATTTGTGCCCCCTAAGAAAGGTGCATCCCACACTTTGGGAAAGTCCTGGTTTAAAACACTGGCCCAACCTGAATACATCGGGTAAGGTTTCTTAAGCCAAAGTGGAAGTTTGTCAACTGTTGCCCTGATAAATGCTATCCAAATACTAACAGTAAGGAAGGAGGTAGAAAAAGCAGCCTGTAACCTTCCTATGCAAACTTTTCTTAGAATTTGTGTAACCTGCATTTTTTGTAGTTCTATATTTGGAAGGCTGTAGTCCCAATTTGACCAGGCCAACCATGTACATCTCCATTTCATTGAAAGCTCCAGGCTGTCCGAATGATCCTTTCCTACCCAAGATTGTGGGTTTTCCATGTTTTAATGACATGTGGAGAAATGGAATATGGCAAAACACATGTTATTTTGTCTAGTCCTTTCCAAAGGACATTTTTCAAAAGTTTTTTGTTTGATCTGGTTCAGCATTTCCAACCTGAGACCTTCAAAGCACCTTATTCTAAACTCCATGAAAAACATTGAATATATGAGTACTTTTTCCCATTTTATACATTTCTCAGTCTTCCTGACTGTCTAAAAATGTGATTGTAATTAAATTTCTGTGCTATCTATACTGACCAGCAGATATAGCAAATAAATAAGGAATTATGCGTTTTTGTAGAAGTCTGAAATTTAAAAATCTCATATTTTCTGCTTGGACAATAATTTTACCAATCTGTTTGGATAATTTGATTGAATTGACTTTGCTAAGTGACAATTTTTGAGACTTTTTAAATAAACTGCATTTAATTTTTTTAAATGAACTGAATTCAAATACTGAACACATCAGTAAATTCAAACTCAAATGGCTAAAATATTCTGCCAATTAGTTTAGCATAATGATGTAATCAGAAATTAAAAAGAACAAACACATTTTGATAACGAAAGAACCTACTGATCATTCTGATTCATATAAAAATCAGGTTGTTTACTCTGAGTAGTAAAACTTTTGGATTGATATGTTGTTCAGATTGAAAACACATTTTATTTTCATGACAAATTCACAGCAAACTTTAATTAAAAACTCAATATGATTGTTGATTTATTACAAATAACTAATATTGCCAAAAATATTGTTGAGTAGGGACAAACGCCTTGTAATGATGGGCATGGTGGCCTGGTGTTTTATAAATATAACCTTTCTCTACGTGTTTTTCATAAATAATTCGTGGAAGGATATTTATTCGTTTGGTGCTCATATTTTTCATCAATCAATTAAATCTACCAACTGTCTTTGTGTGAAAAAATGAGGTAACGGTAACGCCCTCCAAATACATATCTGTAATGTGACTGGTCAATATCTACATGGCAACAAAATAATTGACCAATAGGAGTTGAGGTCCCTCTGCCCTCCAATAAAGCTGCGAGCTTGTTTCCAGCTAGCTAACGCAAACAATCCAGTCAGAGGTGCTGGTTCGAAGTGAATGTTTGCAGGGATATTTGTCGATTTCTTTACGCTTTCCTGACATTCTGCTTCAAAGCTCGAGTTTCTTGTTGTAATCATAATTTCTTCTTTGGAACGCAAACAACAAAACAAAACTGAAGTTCCTTTAGTGAAGGTAAGGCAGATTTATGTCCCTTTACAAAACCGCACCGGCTTATCCAAAATGGCTTCTGCTAGCTGGCAAGAGCATAGCATCAGCTCCCGTTAAGCTAACTAGCGCATATTAGCTTTGGAACCGGCTGCTAGCCTAGCCTAGCTTCGGCTATTTTATATTTCAGTGGAAATGGCGTCGTAGCCTAGTTGCAAAGAGTTTTATTTACGTTTAATCATTTGTGTTCACGCGCTTCTGTGATTTCAGAATATCCGTGACATTGATTTGGGAATATGCGTTTCATGATTTTTCCTGGCCGCGTTTCTATTCTCTAATTGTGTTCTGTTGACAAAAAAAATCCCAATATACAATATAAATGTGTGGAAAGTCCTCCTGCCCAGCCCAGAGCCTCTGCACTAGAGCCGAACGTCAATGTTGACTCTGTTGCTCCTATTCTGCATCTATGATAACGATTCCTTATAATTAGACCACAACAGCCGGGCGGTTTATATCAATGGGCGTTTTTACATACCCCGTTAATGTAACCGTTAGTACCATTAACGCACAATAGCCGTCATGCTAATGTCGTGACGGAGCTAATTCATGAATTCAGTAGCATAGCGAGCTAGCTAATTATTTATGTTACTGGTAGCATTAGCCAGTTAGCTGACGCAGCTTCTTTGTTGTCGACAGGACCAATTCACATCCCTAATTCTGTTTTCTGTAATAAGGACATGGAGTCACGTTATTATTTGAGGACAGTATTTTATCATTGAAAATCACTTTTCTCAATCATTTGCTTTTATGGCTCTCATTAGATTTTTTTTTCTTCTGTAATCAAATTTTCACTCATGACCACACTAATTGCATTATTCTTGTCTTCCTTCTCTTCCCCCAGTCCCGTTTTCCCCATCCCCTACTATTATTCTTATTCTTTTGAGTATTCTTCATTGTCAAGCCGCCAAAGTGGAGAGTGTGATTGCAGAAGGGGGTGCTTCTCGTTTCAGGTAATAACTCACAGACCTCACTAATGGTAAAACAACTAATCTATTTCATGGCCAGCTCTATAATGGGTTGGGTTGGGTGTATACACTGATCCCTTGGAGGGATTCAGGCCTGATGTTTAGAAGAAGAAAATATGGTTGAGGGGTGGGGGGAAAGGTTATAAACAGTATTCTTAACATCTTAACATTTACAAGAGCTGACCAGTAGCTGCTGAAGTCCGTCTTTATCCTTCCATTAATAAATGTCAAATAAATTGAGGAATCTTTTATGGCAATTAGACAAATAATTGCTTCAATTTGATCACTCTAGAAAATCTCTGCTTTGTAAATAAATGGCATGGCTGCTGTTTGTTTTGATGTGAAGCTCCCTCTGTGGTCTCTCTCCTCATTTGGACTACTAGATGCCTTCTATGATTTTATTTTTGGGAAGTTTTCTGACCAACACATGCAGATTTTTTTTTCTTGATTCTTGTTAAGCTAAAATGTAACAGTCAGATGGATCTATTGCACACCTGGAAAGATATGTGAAGATGTTAATAGTCCATCTCTGTGTGTCGGTTTTCATTTCCCTTCCTCCCCCAGGTGCAGTTTTATCAACACAGTCTGGGGAATGAGATCTTGCATTTAAAAATGTAAAAAATAGACACTATCAGCATTATGGTCTCCCAGCTTCTATAATACAGGTGCTGGTCATAAAATTAGAATATCATGAAAAAGTAGATTGATTTCAGTAATTCCATTTAAAAAGTGAAACTTGTATATTATATTCATACATTACATACAAACTCATATATTTCAGATGTTTATTTTGTTTAATTTTGATGATTACAAATGACAACAAATGAAAATCTCAAATTCATCATATCAGAAAATTAGAATATTGTGAAAAGGTTCAAAATTGATGGCCCCTGGTGCCACACTCTAATCAGCTAATTAACTCAAACCACCTGCAAAAGCCTTTAAATGGTCTTTCAGTCTAGTTCTATAGGCTACACAATCATGGGGAAGACTGCTGACTTGACAGTTGTCCAAAAGACGACCATCGACACCTTGCACAAGGAGGGCAAGACACAAAAGGTCATCGCTAAAGAGGCTGGCTGTTCACAGAGCTCAGTGTCCAAGCACATTAATAGAGAGGCGAAGGGAAGGAAAAGATGTGGTCGAAAAAAGTGTACAAGCAAGAGAGATAACCGCACCCTGGAGAGGATTGTGAAACAAAACCCATTCAAAAATGTGGGGGAGATTCACAAAGAGTGGACTGCAGCTGGAGTGAGTGCTTCAAGAACCACCACACACAGACGTATGAAAGACATGGGTTTCTGCTGTCGCATTCCTTGTGTCAAGCCACTCTTGAACCACAGACAGCGTCAGAAGCGTCTTGCCTGGGCTAAAGAGAAACAGGACTGGACTGCTGGTGAGTGGTCCAAAGTCATGTTCTCTGATGAAAGTAAATTTTGCATTTCCTTTGGAAATCAAGGTCCCAGAGTCTGGAGGAAAAGAAGAGAGGCACTTCATCCACGTTGCTTGAAGTCCAGTGTAAAGTTTCCACAGTCAGTGATGGTTTGGGGTGCCATGTCATCTGCTGGTGTTGGTCCATTGTGTTTTCTGAGGTCCAGGGTCAACGCAGCCACATACCAGGAAGTTTTAGAGCACTTCATGCTTCCTGCAGCTGACCAACTTTTTGGAGATGCAGATTTCATTTTCCAACAGGACTTGGCACCTGCACACAGTGCCAAAGCTACCAGTACCTGGTTGAAGGACCATGGTATCCCTGTTCTTAATTGGCCAGCAAACTCTCCTGACCTTAACCCCATAGAAAATCTATGGGGTATTGTGAAGAAGAAGATGCAATACACCAGACCCAACAATTCAGAAGAGCTAAAAGCCACTATTAGAGCAACCTGGGCTATCATAACACCTGAGCAGTGCCACAGACTGATCGACTCCATGCCACGCCGCATTGCTGCAGTAATACAGGCCAAAGGAGGCCCAACTAAATACTGAGTGCTGTACATGCTCATACTTTTCATGTTCATACTTTTCAGTTGGCCAACATTTCTATAAATCCTTTGTTTTTATTGGTCTTCAGTAATATTCTAATTTTCTGATATGATGAATTTGAGATTTTCATTTGTTGTCATTTGTAATCATCAAAATTAAACAAAATAAACATCTGAAATATATGAGTTTGTATGTAATGTATGAATATAATATACAAGTTTCACTTTTTAAATGGAATTACTGAAATCAATCTACTTTTTCATGATATTCTAATTTTATGACCAGCACCTGTAAATCTGTAAAGGTAAAAAAAAATCTCCAAAATTCATGTCATTCATTTTATTAAGTAAAATCTCCATAAGATTAAGCTGTAATGCTTAAAATTTTTTTGACTTGTTAATTATGGGCCATTCTCTAATGGCTTTGACTAAATATATATTTAAAAAAAAAATGTTATCAATTGGGGTTGGGCAATTACAGGTGCTGGTCATAAAATTAGAATATCATGAAAAAGTAGATTGATTTCAGTAATTCCATTTAAAAAGTGAAACTTGTATATTATATTCATACATTACATACAAACTCATATATTTCAGATGTTTATTTTGTTTAATTTTGATGATTACAAATGACAACAAATGAAAATCTCAAATTCATCATATCAGAAAATTAGAATATTACTGAAGACCAATAAAAACAAAGGATTTATAGAAATGTTGGCCAACTGAAAAGTATGAACATGAAAAGTATGAGCATGTACAGCACTCAGTATTTAGTTGGGCCTCCTTTGGCCTGTATTACTGCAGCAATGCGGCGTGGCATGGAGTCGATCAGTCTGTGGCACTGCTCAGGTGTTATGATAGCCCAGGTTGCTCTAATAGTGGCTTTTAGCTCTTCTGAATTGTTGGGTCTGGTGTATTGCATCTTCTTCTTCACAATACCCCATAGATTTTCTATGGTTTAAGGTCAGGAGAGTTTGCTGGCCAATTAAGAACAGGGATACCATGGTCCTTCAACCAGGTACTGGTAGCTTTGGCACTGTGTGCAGGTGCCAAGTCCTGTTGGAAAATGAAATCTGCATCTCCATAAAAGTTGGTCAGCTGCAGGAAGCATGAAGTGCTCTAAAACTTCCTGGTATGTGGCTGCGTTGACCCTGGACCTCAGAAAACACAATGGACCAACACCAGCAGATGACATGGCACCCCAAACCATCACTGACTGTGGAAACTTTACACTGGACTTCAAGCAACGTGGATGAAGTGCCTCTCTTCTTTTCCTCCAGACTCTGGGACCTTGATTTCCAAAGGAAATGCAAAATTTACTTTCATCAGAGAACATGACTTTGGACCACTCACCAGCAGTCCAGTCCTGTTTCTCTTTAGCCCAGGCAAGACGCTTCTGACGCTGTCTGTGGTTCAAGAGTGGCTTGACACAAGGAATGCGACAGCAGAAACCCATGTCTTTCATACGTCTGTGTGTGGTGGTTCTTGAAGCACTCACTCCAGCTGCAGTCCACTCTTTGTGAATCTCCCCCACATTTTTGAATGGGTTTTGTTTCACAATCCTCTCCAGGGTGCGGTTATCTCTCTTGCTTGTACACTTTTTTCGACCACATCTTTTCCTTCCCTTCGCCTCTCTATTAATGTGCTTGGACACTGAGCTCTGTGAACAGCCAGCCTCTTTAGCGATGACCTTTTGTGTCTTGCCCTCCTTGTGCAAGGTGTCGATGGTCGTCTTTTGGACAACTGTCAAGTCAGCAGTCTTCCCCATGATTGTGTAGCCTATAGAACTAGACTGAAAGACCATTTAAAGGCTTTTGCAGGTGGTTTGAGTTAATTAGCTGATTAGAGTGTGGCACCAGGGGCCATCAATTTTGAACCTTTTCACAATATTCTAATTTTCTGATATGATGAATTTGAGATTTTCATTTGTTGTCATTTGTAATCATCAAAATTAAACAAAATAAACATCTGAAATATATGAGTTTGTATGTAATGTATGAATATAATATACAAGTTTCACTTTTTAAATGGAATTACTGAAATCAATCTACTTTTTCATGATATTCTAATTTTATGACCAGCACCTGTATGGTTTTAAAACCCAATCTCAGATTATTTTCCCACCAAATACCCTGATTAATATCTTGTTTTGTAATAAATAAAGTTATTTATGGTTTTGACTTTAGTCCTCCATAATTTAAAGGGTTAATGGATTTGAGTTGTGACCCATGTCTGTGAGATGATCATGTAACACAATAAACAATGAAAATATAACAGAAGAATCACACAGAGCTAGTTTGTTTGACATGAACACATGGTTATAAAGTAATGCGAAGAAGCTATGGAAGCCTAAGGATTGGAAAGATTTTTGTATTACCTGTTCATAAAGAATAAAAAGGATAAAGCCTCATTGTAAATGTGGTCATTTATACAACTGTAGTTGGTAATGAAGATGGATACACAGGCAGAAGGAATAGACCTTTAGTTTTTCTGCAGCTAGAAGTTCTCAATGCTGGAGCAGTCTGTCAACTGTTTGATTCTGATCTTTTATTGGCTCATAAATGCATTGAATTAGTTTATTTGCACTTCATCAAAGCAATATTCCCTTCAGTTTACTGATAGTGGGTAAACTGAACTACATTTCTACCTAATATTGAGAGAATAGTTAAGATGGTGATGTTACAGATATCAGAGCATTACTGTGGTTATATTGGTTTAAATTGGATTTTTTATATTTATAACTTTTTGTTGACTGTTTTTATTTTGAGTTTGTCAAATGACTCCATTTTGATGTGCTTTTCTCCTGATGTTTGCCTCTGCAGTGCTTCTTCGGGGGGAGGAGGTGGTAGGGGTGCACCTCAGCACTATCCCAAGACTGTCGGCAACAGGTGGGCTTATTTTGGTTCTTTATGGTTTTATTTCCTGATTAGTTACAGCTGATGTGGCTCCATTAACTCTTTTTGCTAGGTGCAGTGAAGAGCATAACATTAGATCCCTCAAAAACTTTGATTTGTGTTCTCAGATGTCTAGTTATATAATTTATGTTACACATAAACGCCAACTGGGTAGCTCTGACTCAGAGGCAACAGAGTTTACATAAGGATGGGTAAAAGTGAAGATGGTTCTACGATGGCAGCTGTAGAGACTATGCATTTTAAAGATGAGTATTTGAAGAGCCTGTGTTCAGCTCTGCAGAAATCGTGTTTTCTTAATATTCTGTGTGCATGTTTTTCTCCAGCGAGTTCCTGGGGAAAACCCCAGGGCAAAGCGTTCAGAGATGGGTTCCTTCACGAAGCACTAGACGAGATGCCAACTCCAGTAACGAGAAAGAGCGACATGATGCAATCTTCAGGAAAGTGAGGGGGTAAGGACGTTTTCTCTACAGTTTATGGGATCTGATTTTGACTGAAATACCAGTGGGGGTTATAAGCAAATTGGATGTGCGTGCAAATATTGAAGGTAACAACGCTTAATGTGATCTAAAGTTGGTAGAGTCAAATTCCAGGTTTGTTTCTGGGGGCCATTTCAAACCATGTGGGAGGAGAAGCCTTTCTAGGACTCTTATTCTGTTTACATTCAATCAAAAGATAAGACGGCAGTCATTAGGGTGGCATGTGCTTTGGAAAAAGCCCTTTAGTCCTTTTCTGTATTATGTAGAATTTTCTGAGCTGAAGAGATGATGTTTCTTGTCAGGAATGTAAGTTTTACCACAGGCTGCAGAGTGTGGCCTTGTCTGAGACTAATGTTAAAGTATGCAGCCCGAAACAGCTGTTTATCTCTTGCCCTGGTTTCCTGACCTTCCTGACTTTATTTTGTATGTTTGTTTTTCTAGCATACTCAACAAACTCACGCCTGAGAAGTTTGACAAGCTATGCCTTGAGCTGCTGAATGTGGGCGTAGATTCAAAACTCGTCCTTAAAGGAATCATCTTGCTGGTAAGCTGAGTATTTTTGTTCTGTTGAGCGAAATGAAGATGTATTCATCCACAGTTGGCAGGCTGCTCTTAGTAACTCATCCGCATATTCTTCTGGTTTGTTTCAGATTGTAGACAAAGCCCTAGAAGAGCCGAAGTATAGCTCGCTCTATGCTCAGCTATGTCTGCGCTTGGCAGAGGACGCACCAAACTTTGATGGCCCTTCATCTGAGATCCAAACATCCCAAAAGCAGAGCACAGTGAGTAACTGTTGGAAATCTGAGAGCATTAATTAAGCTTCTCTGTGAATAAAACATGGAAAAGTTAATTATTTTAAAGGATGAATATTTTTGGGGGGTCCCCCAACGGTAGAGGGGAAAGGCATCTGTCTTTGGTACCAGTCTTTATCCTTTTCTAGCTACCATTAGGGCTGAAATGATAAATTGTGATTAATGGATGAATGAAGAAACTGACTGAATTAGTTTGAATGCTTATGTAATGTATATCGTTTCCTGGAAGAATAATCCAGACTTTTTTTTTTTTTTATTAAGGCTCCGTTATGGAATAACTGTTATTCCATAATTGTTGTTGGCAAATAAACTGTTTTTGTTATAAATTGTGAAGAAAAAAAAATGTAATCCAGAAATGTTGGAAAAATGTTAATCAAATAAGATTTTTTTTTTCTTAGATTTTTCTTATTTCAAATTTTTCTTGAATTATGCATTCACCTGTTTTCTGAAAAGTTTAAAACTTTTAAATTTAAGCTGTGAGCATCAGATTTTTTTTTTTTTTTTTTTTTTTCATTTCAAATATGCAAAAAAGGTTTTTCAAATTTATCTAATTCTAAGATGAATAGATAACTAGGAGAAAAATAAAATGGCTCTTCTCTGCATCTTTCCTCTTCCCTTTTAAAATCTCACTTGTGGATATCTGCAACTCTGTTTTAAAACTATTAATAACCTTTGAATAATTGAGATTTCTAATTAATTTTTATTCAATCTTGCACCCTGAGTTTGGAAATAAAGTTTTCTATGGCTGTGCTAAATTACTAAATGATTATATTTGCTCCTTTCAGACCTTTAGAAGACTTCTGATTTCCAAGCTTCAAGATGAATTTGAAAATCGCACCAGAAATGTTGAAAGTAAGTATAAATTAATTAATCAAAGGCTGCTCCTAATGCAGAGGTGTGAAAAATGTGAATACTGCAGATGTGGGGAAAAAAATCTTAATGAAAACATTGCTTCAGTCACAATCTACATTAAAACTTTTTTTACAGATTAAATGGGTCAATGCAACAGTTAGTTTCAAATGTAAATGAAACTAAGTTTATAAACTATGTCCACCATGGAAATGTCCCATTAGGGTTTGCCTAAGCTACACCAGTCAGCCTTTCAACCTTGTATGTTACAATTGTTTTGCCTTTTTCTTTCAGTCTATGACAAACATGACAACCCTCTTACTTCTGAGGAGGAGGAGCAGCGTGCCATTGCCAAGATCAAGATGCTTGGCAACATTAAATTCATCGGGGAACTTGGCAAACTTGACCTCATCCATGAATCTATCCTTCATAAGTGCATCAAAACAGTAAGAATATTTTTCCTTCTTTTAAACAAAGGGACTCTGGTAAAAACAATCAGGCTCATTTTGACTTGTTTTCTCATGATTTCCGAAGCTTCTGGAAAAGAAGAAGAGAGTCCAGCTCAAGGATATGGGAGAGGATCTCGAATGCCTCTGTCAGATAATGAGAACAGTGGGGCCGAGACTCGACCATGAGAAAGCAAAGGTAAGAAGCAGTTTGACTTACGCTCGCTACAATCGTCGCTGCGTCCGAAACTTGACTCCCTTCTCCCTGTGCTTTAAACAGTCTTTAATGGATCAGTATTTTGGCCGTATGCGATCCTTAATGAACAACAAGGAGTTGCCTGCTAGGATCCGCTTCCTGCTGCAAGACACAGTGGAGCTGCGTGAAAACAACTGGGTCCCCCGCAAGGCCTTCATCGACAACGGACCAAAGACGATAAACCAGATCCGTCAAGACGCAGTGAAGGTCTGTCACAGAACGAGTTTCTTTAACTTTATCGATTTGTAATCAGTTTGACATTTTAATGACTCGGCTTCTTGTTTTCCTTCAGGATTTGGGTGTTTTCATCCCAGCACCCATGTCTCAGGGGATGAGGATGGACTTCTTCCTGGAAAGCCCTTTCATGCCCAACAGAGTGAAGCTGGACAGGGAGACCCTTGGCGGATTGGCTGACATGTTTGGACAGATGCCAGGTGTGGTTTCCTGTTCGTTTTTTATCTTAAACGTTATTAACTAAAAGCTGAGTCTTTATCACAAGACTTGATGTAATCTAATATTTTAGATTTGTATTTAATTAATTCAAGGCAGTTTCTTCTCTGCTTCTGTTTCTAAGGCAGTGGGATTGGAACGGGACCGGGAGTTATTCAGGATAGGTACTCGCCCACCATGGGACGCCATCGCACCAACCCACTCTTCAACGGCCACAGCGGTCACATCGCGCCTCCCCAGCAGTCACAGTTCGACATGGGGCCCAAGTCTTTCGTCAAATCCAACCAGGTCTGTTTTTTAAGTGAATGTTTTTTAAAAAGCACACTGCAATAAATGGGACTCATTAAACTCTCTGTAATGTCTGACAGGTTCAGAACCAACATTTCCTCAACCAGAGCCAGAACCACATTAGCCAGCAGCAGGCCCAGTCCAAGGACATGCCTCCACGTTTCAGCAAGAAAGGCCAGCTCAACGCAGATGAGGTCTGTAGAACCGGCTGTCTGAAGAGCCATTTCCAAAGAGTCCAAACTTAAAGGGACATTTAGATCTGAAGTGCGATTCTGTTAAAAGGTTAAATCAGTTTATGGATTTAGTCATCAGTTGAGCCCAGTGGATGAAGCTAACTGCATGTCCGACTGTGTCAAAGCAGAACCGCTTCAGTCTGAAGAATCATTTTGTTGTAAGAAGCATGTTTGCATTTCTGTCTTCTTCGGATTGGGATTAGCTGTTAGCTTCATCCCCAGTTTATTCTAATCTGGGTGTCAGAAGTAATCCACTGGAGGTAACAACAGTTTTCAACCTTTTAACAGAACGTCGCTAAAGATCCAAGAGTTTTTTTTACTTTGCAGAGTCCCTGTAGCACTAATTGCTACAGTTCTTCACTTTGATGCCCAGTGATTATGAAAAGACGCGTTATTCTGAGGAACAAACCCTGCTATTAGTCTGTCTTCTGCTCTTTGCTCTGTCTACACCACTTCTCCCTTTCCTGCCCTTCCTCCTCTTTATTTTTCACTCTAGTAGCAGGTCCACTGACTGCGATTATGAGATATGAGGGCATCATTTATCAAAACTGCTCAGACTTAGATTTTCTAAAATTTTAAGAACAAAGTTGATTCCTTTCTATCCTCTCTCTGTGCTGCTTGGTCACCAGATCAGCCTCAGACCTGCTCAGTCATTCCTCCTCAACAAGAACCAGGTGCCCAAGCTTCAGCCTCAGATCCCAAACATGATGCCTCCCAGTGCTCAGCCCCCCCGCACCCAAACCCCTCCATTAGGACAGGTTGGAATTAAAATGAATCTCCAACTTTAAAGGATAATTTTGTTTTTACAGAAAATAATTTTCTTGAATGAAGACGGACATCATTTAGGGTTAAAAAATGTACCTGCTCTCCCTCAGCCTCCACAGCTTGGCCTGAAGACCAACCCTCCGCCTATCCAGGAGAAACCCCAGAAGACCAACAAGAAGCCGCCTCCTGCCAAAGAGGAACTTCTAAAAACAACAGTAAGAAACTCAAACCTTTTTGGAAATCAGAAACTTTACATACAAGTTTTTAAAACCCTCACTGTGATCGCAAGTTTTGAGAAAACAGTTTTTCATTTTAAAGCGACAGATTTCGATTTACCCCAATCTAATGGTGCACTATTTATACATTTGAGACTTAATACGGAAGCTATGGAGGGACATTCTACTCTTTCTGAATGGAAGGGACACATCAACCTCAAGTTCTCTGAAAACAGGACTGAAGGAAAGCCTACGCTGGTTAGCTGGTCTGAACATCAGCAGCTGATCTCTATCTCATCCAGTGTAGAATAACAGATTAGCTCTCTCTGCCAGGAGGAAGGACTATTTGCTGGACTACACTGCCCTGTTTCTAACAACACCTAAATAAAACTGAACGACCTTCCCTGTCCCATCAGTTTTGAAGCACGACTGAAGTATGAGCATAGAGGTTTGAGATCAAACTGCAGCTCATTTTGGTTCCTTGTCCTCAGGAGTCGATCATGACTGACTATCTAAACACCAAGAATCTGCCTGAGGCCGTGAACGGCATGCGAGAAATGAAGGCGCCAAAGCACTTCCTGCCAGAGATGCTCAGCAAGATCATCGTGTGTTCGCTGGACCGGCCTGATGAGGATAAGGAGCACGCCAGCACTCTGATTCACACTCTGCGCACCGAGGGGCTCATTTCTGGAGAAAACTTCATGCAGGTACAGAAAGTCACTGATCAAACCAAGTAAACTGTTCAAAAGGATGGTTTAAAACAAAAATAAATGATTTGTTAGCATGGATATGGTAAAAGCTTTCTTAGGAATCACTGCTTTTAGCAATAAAGCTTTTTTATTTTTTTCAAAGAAGATAAAGCACTAAACCAGCTGCGCATCTTTAAAATGAGCCAAGTGGATTTATTGTGCTCTTTGTTTTTCAATCATTCTTTAGGCTTTCCTCAACGTCCTTGACCAGTGCCCAAAGATCGAGCTGGACGTGCCCCTGGTGAAGTCCTACCTGGCCCTGTTTGCTGCTCGGGCGATCATCGCAGAACTGGTGAGCGTGGCGGAGCTGGCCCACCCCTTGGAGAATGGCACCCACTTCCCGCTTTTCCTGCTCTGCCTGCAGCAGACAGCCAAGCTGAAGGACCGCGAGTGGCTCACAGAACTCTTTCAGCAGAGCAAGGTCAACATGCAGAAGATGCTTCCAGGTAGAGAGCCCCTTCCCTCGCCACGCGGTATAGATTGCAGACTGTGTTTCTGTTAAATTTCCAGGAGTCAGCCACTGATATTGACCAGTTTTCAAAGGTTAGACGTGTTCAGATGCTAACCCTTTACTGGCCGAGAAGCCAGATAGTTGTCTGATAGAAATGGTGGTTGGTTCCATCAGAGATTGAAGGTCTGCCGATGAAAGTAGACTGGGAGAAAAACAACGGTTTAAACACAGGAACAGTCGGCTTTTAGTGGCAGTGGGAACAGCTCTCTAACCAGTGTCAAATGACACGGCAAGCGGCCCAGGTTAAAAGCTCCTTCAAATGGCTTGGCTCCGATCAACATTCAGTCAAAACATCAGACCCAGGTCAACCTGCTAATAAACATCAAAACACCACGCCAGTCGCGTCTGATCTAAAAAACCGAAACGACTATGTTTGCATTCAATAAACGTAGCGCAGCACTGGTCATGAGCGAATGTTTGTATTTTACTGCAGGTGAAGAGAATATGATCTGAACAAAAAAAATTAAGCGATTTGTAAAATTCAATCTGAGAAGTAGAAATTTCTTTTAAAAAATTTGTGATTGGGTGCAGTGGTTAGCGTACTCGACCCATGTATCGAGGCCTTGGTCCTCGAAGCGGCGAGACGGGTTCGAATCCAGCCTGTGGTCCCTTCCTGCATGTGTCTTCCTCTTTCCTGTAAACCTACTGTCCATAAAATGAGCCACTAGTGCCACTAAAAAGAAAAGAGTATTTTTTTTTCACTAATGTATTTTTATTTCTTTTTCCCCTTCCACCAATTTCCATTTACGTAGTTTTCTTTGCAACAATAATGGAGGAAAATTCTCTCCATACTTTGGAACTGTGCAGATGTGCTAAAGATGGAGGCAGACTTAAAACTGCCCCTCAGTGACCGCCTTTGTTTCTGCTTCCTTTTGACAGAAATTGATCAGAATAAGGACCGCATGCTGGAGATTCTGGAGGGCAAGGGGCTGAGCTTCCTGTTCCCTCTGCTGAAGCTGGAGAAGGAGCTGCTGAAGCAGATAAAGGCAGACCCATCTCCTCAATCCATCTACAAGTGGATTAAAGACAACATTTCCCCTAAGCTTCACACTGACAAAGGCTTTGTCAACATCCTCATGACAAGGTTTTTTTGTTTTTACTGAGCAAAGTGGGCCTTTTGTTGCTTGCTGTGCCTGCTGAACATGATTAATATCTTGCTTTGATGATGTGGACTAAATGTAGGGAATTTTTTTCCAGTTTCCTCCAGTACATCTTCCAGGAGCTCTGCATGACGGAGAGCGATGATCAGCTGTCAGCCCCCTCCAAAGAACAGCTGGAACAAGAGAAGCAGCTGCTGCTGGCCTTCAAACCCGTCATGCAGAAGTTCCTGCACGACCACACGGAGCTGCAGGTCAGCGCCCTCTATGCACTGCAGGTGCAATGCAACGCCTGTGGGTTCCCTAAAGGTACGGCTTCTCCTAACCGTTAAGTTAAATGACACACGCATAGAGTAAGGTCTGTGAAATGAGCTTAGATTCCTGCATAAATGACGTGTTTTTGTGTATATGTTTGTCTGTACAAGGGATGCTGCTGCGCTACTTTGTCAACTTCTACGACATGGAGATTATTGAAGAAGAGGCCTTCCTTGCATGGAAAGAAGATATTACCCAAGAATTCCCTGGAAAAGGAAAAGCTTTATTCCAGGTATGTCTCTGTTGGTATTAAAACTAACCAGGTTCCTGTATGGAGCTAAATTGGGGCCAAAAAGTTGTTTAAAACATTTCCAGCTCGAAAAAAAAGTGTAAAAATACTTTTCTGATTCAAGATATGTATATACATGCGTGTGTGTACGTATACGTGTGTGTGGTTTAAAAAAAAAAAAATTGCTGTTTTTTGCTCTAAATATAATGCATTCACTGGAAAAGTTGTAAATTTTCCAAACCATGTTTTTTTTATTTGCAGCACCGAACATCTCAACCCTCTATATCTGTAGTTTGTTTTCTAGTAAATGAGAAAATGTTAGCTGCTGGTAGTCGGTGGGCGGGGCTTAGATTAATTCTACTTAAGTCTATGGAGGCTCCCACCATGCTAGACCTCAGGAAACTCATGAGCTAATTTCATTTTTATTTTGGACCAAACTAGGGATACAAAAGCTTGAGATGCTCATTCAATGAGCTTTAAATAATTTCAACACATTTTTGAAGTTATTTCTGCCTTTTCCGGTGATAATGACTTGTCAGTAAAAAAAAAAAAATTTGGAAGTTGTCTTTCTCTGCTTGGCTGCTTTCTAAAAAATTAACCATCAAATAAAAAATTAAAATAAATATAATATATAATATATATTTTAATTGAAACCCATGTAATGGTATATTAAATGCTGTATTTAAATTTTAATCAATGTTTTATTTTATTATGGCACTAATCACCACCATATCTTTGTGTTTCTTGGAAGAATTTGTATCTGTGGGTAAAAGCCGTAGCAAAGCTGGACATTCTAACAAGCTTGTCTGTTCTTTATGAGAAAAATATCTGTCCTCCTTTCAGGTAAACCAGTGGCTCACTTGGCTGGAGACGGCAGAAGAGGAGGAGTCTGAGGAAGAAGCAGACTGAAACCAAGGAGTGGCCTCATGACTTCGAACCACACTTTGTTTTTAGACACTTTTTTTTTCTCCATTTTAAACACCATGCTTAATTTAACCACTACCACGTGGCACCGAGCTGCTTCTGTGAATCTAAACCAACAGCTGGTTCATTTGTGAGGCTAAGAAGCGTAGTTTGACCTGTTGCCTCATGTTGTGTGAACTTTTGTTTTTTTGGGCTCTGTGTTCTGCCAGCTGCACAAGTTCTTTAAGTTTAAAGTGACTACCCAGTTTCTCACCTTGTTTGTGGTTAATTTTCTCACTTTAACAGTTTTTTTTATTTTTTTGAAACATTATTTACACCTTTATTCTCCATCATGCAAAAAAACAAAACTGAAGATCTTAACAGATATTTAAATACATCTATGAAATGGTATTGATAGTGAGCTTCTTTAAGATCACCACCATTGTGTGCAAAACTGAAAAACGACATTAAGGACTTGATCATCAGAGTGTGGGAATAGGGGCAGTTCCACATTATCGGCCTATTAAAGCCAAGATGAAGCATGAGCTGACTTGGCGTGTTGAATCACCCGTGCACAAATCCAATGTGGTTTTTTTTTTTTTTTTTTCCCCTCATTTGGTTTAATGAAATGGTCCTCTGCATGATCTGGAGCTCTCTCTTATCCTATATGTTGTGTGTGTGTGTGTGTGTGTGTGTGAAGAGTGGTTGCAATACTCAAGTTACAACAGTTAAAAACTAAAATGATCGACGCTGAAACGAGTAAACTTACCTGTTTCTACCTCTTAGTTAGATTGGCTTTGTGGTTCTGGGATAATTATAATAAATGAAATGACGGTAAAAGACAAAGGGTTCTAATTTTATTCAGTCCTGGTCTAATTGCACTTTGTTTTTGCATTTCCAAGGAGGTTTCCCATGATTTTAAGTCCCAGTACTAAAGAAGAACAAACATTTTGTCTACATCTTGCTAACCTGGTAGAAACCTACCCATAAAATGCAGAGTTTGGAGTAAAGGTGATTAAAATGGCTTATTTTATTTGAAACCTCGGCTTAAGTTGCTTTTTGATGTTGACTAGATGAAAAGGTTTTTTTATTCTTAAATGTAACGGCTAAACAATGAAATAATACCCAGGAATCGTGCTGACAAGCCATCTTATTGTAAGGTATTCATAATTATTGTGCACCTCTGTTGCTTTAATGTCAATAAAGTCCAATACATGAGCACCAGTACTTGGTTTTTATGCAGCTTAATCATTTTACTTCAGTTAAAGTTAAAAGTTCCTTTGAAGAGAGATGGTTAATCCTGGTCTGTAGGGATCCAGAAGTATTCCACCAGTTTCGTGCTTCTACGTGACTGAGCAGATCCAGGGCGCTGCCCTTCAAAGGGTGGCAGATCATCAAAGTGACTGGGACCCAAGTCCCTCCCAGCCTGGGGGGCTGAGATCCTCAACATCGTCCTAAAAGGAGAGGCAAAAAATGTACCTTTTTCATAGTTGAGTATGAAAAGACTAGCTTTTAGCTAAATGTCTTAAAGCTTGATCTGAATGAGTCAGATCTATTAAGGACACTAAAACTACAGCTGGAGGAATAAGTGCTCTCACAATACTAGGATGTTAGAAATAAAAGGTACAATGCATCCACTGAGGATTGACAAAACAACCAATAGGGGGCAGTACAGATTAAATAACGCACTAAATGATAGAATAGAATTTAACACATTTGAAGGCTGGTGATCTGAACTGTATCTGGGTCTTAGAACCATTAGGGGAGAACAGAAAGGAGACCTTTATTCACTCACTTGAAAATATATATCTGGTCATGAGTATAACAATATTTATTGAATGTTCAATCCATTTAATTGCAACATTGATTGCAAAAGGTACATGGGTCAACCTAGAATGTGAATCTTTTTAAAAATGCCCCACTCGATTTATATTATTACATGTGAGTCTTTTTGCTCTTGGTGAAATTGCCTTTTTAACTAATTTGCTGCCTTAACCATCATTGGATTGTTAGAAGAATTCAGTTTCCTGATTTTATAAACATGGTAAATCATTTCTCTCAACCCTTAATTGTAGAAGGCTGGAAAAAAGGGTGGTTTGGTCAATAAAATGATAATCTAATAAATACAAAATTACTTTGTCAATATTTCTTTCTTTAGCCAACTCAGACTGACATTCATTAATCATATCCTTAAAACCATTATTCAAATGATTCATAAAAAAACTTTGAACTTCATATGTCAGCTGAGTTATTTCAGATAATAAATGAATTTGTTTGATAATGTCCTGGTACTTTTTTTTTAGCCTTCATAAACATTTACTTGGTTGAATAGATTGTCCTTTAATTTTAAATGTCAACATTTAATTTGCTGGCTGAAAACATATCCATGTATCTGCCTAACTTTTTTAGAATAACAGAAACTTTTACAAAGAGAGTTCATAAATTTCCACGTAGACAACGCAATTAGAAAAGGATGGCATTTCTAAAACAGACCAAAAAAAAAAAATAGATATGATTATAAAATCTATGAAATACAAAAAGTAGTAGGTATATAATTTATAACAATTTTGTTTTTCTGAAAAAAATATCAAGAAGAATACATCTCAAAGAAAATAAAAAAGTCTAATCTCTGGATTGCTTTTTTTAAATATTTAAATCTGAAACGGAAAAATGTGTTTATTTTTTTGTTTTTTTCAAATTTCCATTCACAAAATGTGTTCTTTGCTTGCAAACAAAATTTACTTCATACAAGACCTGAACACATGACCAGCAGTCACAAGCGTTATTAGTGACTTATAATAGAATTAAATTCCCCACAAGAATCTGAAAACTAAAATTACTGTAAATATTTATGTTGAATTTTTCTCTTTTGCACTAATTGGATTTATTCTTCATGTAGCCTAAACTTTTCTATCTATATTTTTGTTACAGGATTGTGAAATTGACGTTGCCTTCTCCCCCTTATTTTCTTAACCATGTTGGCTTTTTGTGTCATATGTCTTTACACGGTTGTTGAAATGTATTCTCTTTGAGGGTTTTATAATACTGAAGTTTTTAAAATTAATACTTTTGACCACATGAAAGGATCAGGGATAGGAGGTAAGGGCTAAAATTTGAGGTATTGGCCGGTGTCTGGCGCCCCCTCGTGGTCATAGCTCCCATTAAATATTGAAGATCTTTGCAGTAATGGGGAGTTTTGGAAGTAAACTTTGTTAGAGTAATTCTACCCATTTGATTTTACACAGTGATCCACAGGAGTGAATTAATTCTACGGATTCTAGGGTTGGTTACTGCAAATAACCGTTGCAATGACCAACGGTTATTTTGCAAATCGATTAATCTGTCAATTCTATTTTAGATTTATTGATTAATCAACAGCAAAAGGTTCCTTAAAGAAGATTTTTTGAGAAATTAAACCAGGTGAAAATAAAGCTTTTCCACTTGAGGCGTTCTGGATACAACAAATTGACAGACAAAAATTTTTTTTAATCTTAAATGCAAAAATGTTTATACATTTTTTTTTTTTAACAATTTTGGTACAACTGCTACTCAGCTATGGCACATTTTAGAATCTATATACCGGTACTCCAGTTAAAGAATAATCGAGTACTAAATTAATTGAGGATTATTTCAAAAATCGATTAATCATGATTAATCAGATTAATTGTTTCAGCCCTTATTAAGAAAAAAATAATAAGAAAAAATTGTGAACATTTTTCTTTTACAGATGTATTTGCTTTATACATCAATAAAATGCTTAAAGCTTTAGTTTTTTTTTTCTGATGCCATTCACCACCTGGTGTGTTTGGGGTCATCGTCTTGTTGGAAAACCCGCTCCAAGGCTATTTCCTTTGCATTCTCTGCCACCTCTTACTTTGCTGCTTTCAAGGTGAACCATTTCCCCTGGTTTACTGTTAATAGGTTAGAACGTATTAGTAGATCACTGATTTTGTTATTTGTGTGCCTGTTAAAATGGACCTTCTCCTCTCCAGTGTTGGCTTCTGTATGCTATATAAATTAAGTGGATTTGATAGATTTGTGATAATTAGGACTGACACCATGTATGAGAAACATTCACTTTGCATGCTCCCTAAATCAATGCTTTACTCTTGGTTCACTGTTGGTTCAGCTGAGTGTTCTGGGCTTTTTCTGATAAACTTCCAAACATATCAATGTGGCTTTTATCCATGAAAAGTTGCTGCATTTCTGTTAAGGTCAATTAATGTGTTCTTGGGCCAAATTGGGAACTTTGCAGGGGTTTCCACCTGATAACGTGGCTTCATGCAGGTATCCTTTTTGATAATTATAGTCCTCACTGTAACCATGGTGCTGATCATTACCTGAGCCTTAACAGTTAGGTTTGACTTATTTTCCTTTTTTTTTTTTTTTTTTTATGTTCTTATGAATTTGTTTTCCGTTTGTAGGGATCTTCTGACCCTTCCCTTAAAATAAGATTATTAGATATTGTGTGCTTGATAAAATAAGTTTTTTTTCTTATTCTAAATACATTGGCAAATTATCTTACCAGCTCAAAACAAGGGAAATATGCTTATTTCCTAAAGAAATGCTAGGATTTCTGTTTTTGCAGAGTAACACTTGAATTTATCTCCCTTATTGAACTCAACACTGCTATCATTTTGATAGCACCGCTGCCCTATGCGAAAAAGCTTCGCTGCATTCCATGCAGGACCAGCAGATTCTGCAACAGCTTTTCCCCCACTGCCATCAGGGTGCTGAACTGTTGAAAGACTCTAAATCAAGTCACAAATTGAGACTCTGCATAACACAGATAACGTCACACCTGCACTACATGGTGAATCTTCAAAATAGAACTCAACTAAACTACTTTTTACTGCATTTTGCACCATATCTATTTATGTATTTTTGCAGTGCTCTGACCCTTCCCCATCAATGCCTTTTTTGCACCCCCTCTCTCCCACACAGTGTACATTTGATCACTGCTGCACTTTATGAATACAAATTTTCCTTTTCACTGCTAAGCTGCTGCTCATTCACTGTCGGAAAGCTGTATAAACGAAATTGTTTGGATCTGTTGGTTTTCTATAGTGAAAAAAATGCCCTTGAAGGATCCAAGTTTTTACTAAAATCAGGGTCTGATCTGGTAGGGACTTTTTTCTCCTACATAACTCTACCTGGAGGAGTTCATCTCTGGCTCTTCAGGGCCTCCCTCTGGAGTGCTGATATATACAGGATCTCCTTCCTGAGAAGAATTAGGAGATGCAAAAGGAAGTGATGATAATGTGCTTCTATTTCTCTCTTTGCAGATTATTATCACTCTTATATGAAAAAAAAAAAACAACAAAGCAAACTTACTGTGAAATTTCTTGGGGTTCCATCAGAATTTTTTAGGATTTTCACTCGCTGATTGCTCTCAGCCATACACAAAAGGTAGCTCTTGATGTTAGCCTGACACTGTTGGAAAGACATTTCAGTTTGAAAGGGGGGATCCTTTAGTGGATTCCCAACGTTGAGCCTTAAACCACAGTATGCATTTTGAATATTGGGAAAGCACTACCACAGAGACGCATCACAGGGACATAAGCTGCTGTTTATACTGT